AGGGGGTTTTGCGCTGAGGAGTAAATCTTCGCAGCTTCTTTCCTCCTGCGAGGGGGTGCCGCGCTCCCCCTCCAAAACAATTTTGTCTATTATTTCTTGCGCTCTCGACTCACACGCAGTGTATGCACTTGTATGAAAGAACGTCTTCCCGCCACTTTTCAAAAAAAAACCACAACGTAGGTTCCCATTTGTTAGACGATGACAGCCAAGGCCAAATTTTTAAATTTTTGAATTTTTCGCGGGCCTTTCAAACCTTTTCAAGGTCAATTTAAAGGCGGGAAGATTGGGTTATCACACTATAATAAATGACTAGCCTTAATATCATAACACAGGTCATTTATAAATATCACAAACGATAGGGGACCCAAAGTAGAACCCTGAGGTATCCCACAGTTAGGAATCACAGTTTTGGACTTAAAGTTATTACATTCCACGTACAGTTTACGACCTGACAAACACGACTCCATTAATTTAAGCATATCATTAGAAATTCCAAAACGATCCAACTTATTAATCAATCAACTATGATCCACCTTGTCGAACGCTTTTGATATATCTGTATATATCATATCTACTTGTTTTCCTTTATCTAAAACTTCCGAAATAAATTGTGTAAACGTAAGCAAATTGCTGACTGTTGATCTTCCCTCGAAAAATCCATGTTGAGCAGAAGTAATACAATTTTTTATATGATTAATATGTAAAACTGCAAAATGTTTTCAAACAACTTACTAAAATGTGAAGTTAACGTCACTCCCCTATAATTAGTAATATTTTGCTTATCACCGCTTTTAAAAACTGGGCATTTCCGTCTTAACTTAAAACATGTCATCGTTTTTAAAGTAAGTAGAGCTAGAAGTAGTATTGAGGACACAAGGGGGATTAGCGATTGTGCAGTTGGAAATTTTCCTTAATTTAGGCACTGATTCTGATAATATGTCTCGCCATGGTCTTCATGAAAATTCCCTTTATTCTTAAGAGAAGTTGACTTGTTTGGTAATTTCCTTGCATCGAAAAATTTTCGGACAGCTACATCGTGCGGCCAGAACTCTTTAGTCAGCAAAAGGTCTTGAAATTCCGCACTCATCGTAATTTTATATGTGCTTTAGAATTCTGGAAATCTCGAAATCTGTTGGGTGACGCTGACATCCTGGGAGGTTCCTGTTGTAGTCTGGATTTTATTTACAATATACTTCTGAATGGATTCCTTTGAAACTGATGGATCCACTCGTGTATCATGAAAATCGATTTTCTTAGTAGATCTGTTTACGGCAAAAAATGTCTTGTCATCTGTAGTCAACGTTGCCGTACCAATTAATAATTTATTTCTTTTGGTGTTGCTAACTTCCTTATTATTGTTATTAAAATTAACTTTATTATTCTCTGTTTTTTATCACGCTGCTTTCTTTTTTGAACTTCCCATTCACCGACTTCTTCATCACTTGAATAAACCTTCCCCAAATCAGTCGAGATAACTTTTTTAATATCCACTGGAATTACTTTTACAACCGGGACTTTATCGTGTTGATTTTTATCATGACGACTATTTATTGCTGAAGGAACCTTTAATAATTTATTATTAATCCTTTTATTGTCCACTTCATTATTGCTGCTGTCTATGTCTAATGAAGGTACATATGTGGACGAAATATTTTTGTCAATAATCTAACTAGATCGATGTTACTTGACTTTAAAACTTCAACTTCGTGTCTAAGTAACTTTACCTCATCATACAGAGGCTTAAGTTTTAAATCGATCGCTTATTATCTTAGAAAATGTTTTTAACTTCAAGGAAGAGACACATGTTTCAGGATCCATAATGACCTCTTCAGCATCCTCACAACATTTAACCAACTCACTATTTATAACTTCTATGTTCAGACGCTCCACACACTTAGAGTGAAACACCCTATCACAATTGATTCATTTTGGGCCTTTTACACCCTTGATTTTACACTGCAAGCACACAAGACTAGACATCACGTCAATAAGATTTTAATAAATTAAAGCAATTGTTTGAAATTGGAACTAATAAAAATGGAACGTGACAAATTAAAAAATATAGCAATAATTCAATATTTTCGTTATATTTTTCATTTTTCCACTATTCTTCATACATTTTTCGAGTAAAATTTTCGTTCAATTTTCCAGTTAAGAGTTGTGGACATTTTTTAGACATTCAATTAATAATTGCATCTGCTCTTTGATTGGCGTTATTGTCTTTTTTCTTTGCAAAATCTGGACAATTGCGACGTTGCGAAATTTTTATTCGTCTTTAAGCCTCATACTACGAATGTGTATGTATCCGTTCGTATGTGCGTTTTGCGAATGATAAAATGCATTAAACGAAAATAGGTCCCTTGAATAGAAGATACTAGCGGATAATATTTTTAAAAATCTGGGAACTTGAGACGAAATTGGCCACCTTTTAAGAAAGAATAGTCGCAAGGGTAGCAGATATAGTCAATCATCTGTGCATCAAATACTGAAAGGAAACCAGTTTGTTCAGTTTGAACCCTATCATTTAACGTTAGCCCAAAAATTGAAACCCACAGATCATCGTAGATGATTATCCTTTTCTCATGTTTTTGGAAAACATCCATATTTCAATCACTACTTTTACAATTTGGTTCTTTTTCTAGATGAAGCAAAAGTTTCAGATAATGGTGGAGTTAATTATGGGTTCCTATTTTCTTGGGACAGTTTGAACAGGAATTCTTATTTAAATTTGGAAACAAATTATGAGAAGCCATAGAATCTGTTTTAACACGGGCGAAAATGTCATTTTGTAAATAGGGAATAAATCTTCCTACTTAAAGGGCGGCTTATTTCGCAATCGTTTTTACCTCTCCTCTCCAGAATAGAGAAATAAACGATTTTTGTATCCTCAACATTTTGTGTTTAATTTAGGGACGCTTTTCCAGCCTTGGGGTTCACCACTTTGCATTTGAACCTTTGAACTCATTCCAAACATACAACGTAAGGTTTCACTTTTGATGACGCTCACAAGTCAACGCCAAATTCTTGAATATTTCGCGGATTTTAAAATTTTGTTCAATTGTCAAATTTTGGAGGGATGATTGGGTTACTACAGAGTTAAAAAATCTGATAATATTAACTGATTGAGAATAAACGCCTTTACTAATGTTTAATGTTTGTAATAAATAAATACACCTACGAATCCTTTGGAAATGTATTCTAGTTTGCGTTCCCAATGCTGTCAGGTCCATTATTACTCATGAATGCTTTTGTAACTATATTAAAAAACTTGAAATTTGTATAGTTCGTTGTATATGCTCCATAGATAGAGGTAGATTCATAGAACATTTTACCCATAGATTTTTTATATGTACTAACAAATCTCTGGTTCTACCACAGCGTGGAAGAAGGAATGAAATAATGCCGTGAAAGTTCAAATAAGTAAGCATTGTAGAACTTAACATGTTTTGTAGATTTATTTACTTGTAAAATGAATCAGTTTGAATGAATCGTTGCCTATCAAACTCGCACTGATTTTAATTTTACAAATTTTTCGTCGTGTTGATCTTCCACTTTCTACTTCTACCGTTCGAATAGTGCTTTGTTTTTGAGACACTAATGCCTTCAGATTTTTAACTTGTTCTGTCAATATATTATTTATACATGTTTCTGTCGTTAAGTTTTCAAGTTTTTTAGTAGTTTTAGAAATTTTAATGGCCAGTTCATATTCGGTAGTTGCAGATCTTGCTACAGGTCTGTCATAAATTTCCGGATGTTGTTTCATTGTCTGCTGAGGTCATCACATTTTTGTGGTCTAAAACATGTGTATAGATGTATTAAGTTGTTGAGGAAACGGGTTTTCCCAAGTGAAGATAAAGAAGTTCTGCACAGTTTCTCTAATTCAGATTTCTGTGGACATCAATTAAACCGTTAATATTCATTATCACATTTTAAGCTGATATTAAACATAAAACGGGAAATAGTAATTCGAGAAGAACAGAAACGATGATTTTACTCTATTGGCAGGTGTAACAGAGAGACCATATCTCTGTACCCAAACAACCTGCCGCGTATTAGACGCTTTATCCGTCTTCGCAAAACAGCCAGCTACTAAAGCAGCTGCGCGTTTCACGTGGATGTCCGTCAACCCATGAAGTTTATGATGTCACATGAGAGAAAAACCTTCACCTTTAACTAGAAACCGCCATTTTATGCTTTTAATTTCAATTATTTTATTAAATTAAATGAACTATTATAAGTCTCGAGTGAGCAGTTGTGTGAATAATATAACTTAAGTACAAACATCTAGAACGTTGGATGCATCGTGATAAAAAAGAGGGAAGCTTGAATAAGTGAATTTCTTGCTTTTTATATGAATATTATCACGACTGCAGTTAAACTGAATTGGTACCGCAAAAACTTATAAATCTCAACATGAACTGTGAATCTACAGTCGATTCCCATTCAGAAGCAGTTATCTAACTTCTGTGACCGTTCCAAACCTCAAGAATTTCACACAGATAATTCCCACAGGTTCTACTACAACTGTAATCAAATTCTTTTTAGCTTTCGAAAGCCGCCTTATCGTAAATTGTATATTTATATACACGCTATTTAAAAAAAAAAGAACTTCATGGAAAAACAGGGTCAATATTTGTCTCACATTTTGACTTTTAATTTCCTTTAAAACGCTATAATATTAACAGATAGCTTTGTTTTAAACAGGCATTATAAACTGAAACCACATTAAAGGTCACAGTCAGAGATGGTGACATCGTTCCGATAAAATCTGATAAGAACTAATTTTTTCAAAGAAAGATATGTGTGAATAATAGAAACTATTAGTAACAATCGATAAATTGCATACAAACAGAAGGATTACTTTCCTTTGTATGTAACTATGAAGTGCATTTTAAATTTGTTTTTATTTATCATTTTTATCAGTGGTTGTATAGCTATCATCTGATATCACGATATCAGTATCACCGTATATGTATAATCTCCTCAGTTCGCATAATCTGTTCAAACTGTAAACAATGAATGAGTCCCGCGTTGTGTTACACTTACTGACATTATTTCCTAACAAATCTGAAAATTATTACTATTAATTATTACTCGAAAAGTATCGTAGTTGCAATTGCAACATTAGTGCAACGGTGGAAGCAGTTAACAACGATACCCAAACAAGAACAAACATGTTTCGTGGGTTGTTTAATGGTATATTAGATGGTTTTTCCAAACTATGTAGTTGCAATGGATCTTCTTCATTATCGGACGATACACAGATTCCAGGAGCAAGTACAAGAGACGATATCGAGTTCGTAAACATTAATATTGGTGAGGAGTTTGCCAAAAATCTAAGTGACAAGTTTTCTCGCCCATCTTTGGTTGTTCCGACGGGTTTTCAACCCGTTATTGAAATACCTGTAGCACTAGGAGAACAACTGTACATCGCATATGTAGAATCGACATTTCGACAACAAGAAGCTCAAAATCAAATTGTCCAAGATCTTATTAAAGAAGACGAAGAATTTGCGAGACGACTGCAAGATGAAGAAAACAAATACGACAAGGCTCAAGAAGCACGAGGCCTGGAACCTCAGGCGAAATCTAGAGAGGAACAGCTAAATAAGAGAAAATCAGAATTACCGCTTATTCATGGAAAGACCAATTTTGTACCGCAATTTTGGCCACAAGATGATGAAACTGATTTGGTAATGTTGGTAATGAAATAGTAAGTCTAAAACTATTAATATCGTTTTGAAGGCATTCGAGCAACCTGCAGCTTCCTACCGTGAACAAGCGCAACAACATATAAAAAAAAGAACACAGTTTTATAAAAATGCTAAACAATGTCTCAAAGTGCAAAATCACAAACTTGCTAATTATTACTATCAACAAGCGAAAGAGCAAACAAAGCTTATCGAAGAAGCTAATAACCGTGCTGCTGCAGCGTTTTTAGCGGAAAACAGTGAACGACATAGTAAGAATACCATTGATCTTCATCACCTCTTCGTTAGAGAGGCGATTCAAGCCTTGGATAATTTTTTGGATAAAGAGATAACTTCACTGCAAGATGAACATTTGAAAACTAAATTTTTAGTGGTAATCACGGGAAGGGGGAAGCACAGTCGGGATGGAGTTCCTAAGATCAAACTGGCGGTTATGGATAGATTGAAAAATAGGAAATTAAAGTAAGTTCAGACTATTACTAAGTAGGTATATTACAAAAACAAACTGGGAAATACCCGGTTTATTGGTAAGTACATTAATTTTGACAAAATACGAGATAAGTGGTTTGTTCTTAATTCTAGATTATGTGATTTTAGGTATTCCGAGATAAATCCAGGCAGTTTACGAGTTCATATTTTCAAGCATTCGTATCTTACGACTGAACTGATGTAAAACTTAAAATTTTAAGTTTTTTAATCGATTCACCTAAGTGTAACAGTAAAAATCTTTCCCAGTCTGTGTAATATTCGAAATAAAAATGTACGAGTTAATTTACAAATGAACTCTTTCTATTGAGTACTTTTCGTGCCTAGAATTACGATACTATTTTATATTTTATCTCTGGGCATCTGATTTATGGCATTTTAATCCAGTAATTTATAGTAAAAAAAAATACCAAAAAGTTCGAACGTATATGTTCCATGTGGTCGAAAAAAACTCCTCTACTAGGTGGAAATTTACTTTTAAAATATGGAAGTAAAATGTTTATTAATTTTATCAACAGATTATTTTCTCAGCTACACAAACCTCTCTGTAAGATAAGTGTCCAAGAATAGATGTTCAGCATTCAAGTCGTAGAACATATAAATGGTAACACAATACTTTCACAGTTTTTCCTTTCAAAGTAGATCACTGTTTAAATTAAATTTAAATTACGTTCATAAGTATGTGAAAATTCGAGACTTACTTTCAATAAAATATAGAAATGTGTTACAACAATGTGGAGAAAAATTAACTCTGTCTGATTAATGTTATATTTATAAAATACATGGTGCCTTGCATAGAAATATATTTTGTATAAATTAAACACAATTTGTGTTCGCAATATACGTACAAAGCCGTACACTTAGAAATGTTGAGTGGATTTAACCAATCAGAACTCCATTGACTGACTATTAAAAGGTCCTGCGTCAATATGTTTAAATTACTACTAACTAACATATAGTTTAATGCCATTCGCATACATGGCAAACGGGGACTTAATAATTTTCTTTAAATCGGCGGTATAAACTATAAACAGTACTGGTCCGAGGACGGATCCTTGCGGCACCTCACTCAAAACTTTAAACTTACGTTTCGATAAGAAACCATCCATCCACTGAAGGATTCTCCTAATTCCCATATGTTGCAGTTTTAACAAGAGGTGACGTTTCGGCACACGATCAAACGCCCTAGAAAAATCCAGATAGACGACGTCGACTGAATTACCCAAATCAAATTCTCTTGTCCAGTCAGACAGACAGCACAGGACATTAGAGATGGTGGATTTACTTGGAACTTTGGGAGAAAACCGTGCTGCTCTGCAGGAATAAGTTGCTGTCTGCAAGAAATTGTATTAAGCGATCGTAAATTATTGATTCCGTTATTTTAATAACCAGCGATGTTAAGCTAATTGGACGATAGTTAGTCGTACTGTGCCAGTTTTCCAGTCGTCTGGCAAAATATCAGAAGAAAAGGACTGCGCCATCAAAAGACTTAAGGGCTGAGATAGGAAATCAGCAAGGTGCACATTGTGATTAGGACCGGTCAAACTCGTGTTGTTCAAACTAACAGTGAAAACCTGAGAAAAGTTACGAGCAAAGATGTCTGCAACTGTAGCACAATTATCAGTGATATCAGTCATCCTTCAACTGCGGGGTAATTACAGGTTTTTTATATTAATTAGTTAGTTAATTTGTTACGATGCGCTTGTCGTATACACCGATAAAGATGGCTTAATTCTGACTAAGTTGGGAATCTTTGCATCTATCCATGGCTTCGTAGAAGATCTTTTGACGGTAAAAGTGGAAGAATATTTTGAAATGCAGTTTCAGAGCAAGTTATTGAATGAATCCCAGTGTTATACAACCACATGCCCCGAAAATAAACCCGGCCAGTCAACTTTGCTTAAGTCTGTATTAGCAGATTCGTAATCTACAATGGTTCTCGTAAATGAACCCGTTCTTCCTTTGGGAAGAGAATACATCTGCATACGAACCTTAAGTACCGAATGGTCAGAGATACCTATTGATCCAAGATATTTCAGATTAGTTAATGAATTATCGTCTGAAGCTGTAATTAAATCTAGAATAGATGGGTTCTGGCCGGATCAATATCTAGTAGGTTCAGTTACCAACTGGTTTAAATGATAAGATAATAACAGATGGACCAACAATTGAGAGGACGCTACACAAGCATGAGACGTATTTAAGGACCAAACAACGTCGGGAATACTAAAGTCACCAAATCCAGAAATATATTGAAACAGAGTTCTATCGTCATTAATGACAGATGAAGGGGGTCTATAGATACAATCCAAAATAAATTTGAAAGATTTGCTAGTGAACTTTAAGAAAAGGGGATCAATGTCATCGGTATCAATGTGGTAAATTACATTATTGCAAATTTAGGAAAGATCTGATCACTAATGCACAGACCCCACCCCTTCTTGCGATCGTGTCTTGTAATTTTATACCCATTCAAAGAAATCATACTGCCAAGTATAGCAGAATTTAACCAGGTTTATGTCAATAAGAGCACAGAAGGATTGATATTATCGATAAAGGTACTACGATCGTCATTTTTGGAGAAGAAGAATAGTGGTCTAGGAGTAATCCATAGATATGGGATAGTCCGGAGGCATCGATATCTGCAGTATTTTTTACATTACGAAGGTTGTCAAGGGCTTTTTTAATTTTACGTTGAATTTTTCTACATTTTAATAACCCAAACTTCCCGCCTTTAAATTGACCTTGAAACAGTATGAAAGGCCCGCGAAAAATTCAAAATTTAGCCTTGGTTGTGATCGTCTAACAAAATGGGAACCTACGTTGTGTGTGTTTTTTTTTTTTTGAAAGATGGCGGGAAGACGTTCTTTCATACAAGTGAGCATACACTGCGTGCGAGTAGAGAGCGCAAGAAATACATAATAGACAAAATTGTTAGGAGGGGGCAAAAAAATTGCGCCTCCTCCCTTGGAGGAAAGAAGGACTTGCCATCTCGCATTCACTCCTCAGCCTCAAAACCCCTTATCGTATATTCACGAACATATTACTTTTCAAACGAAACATCTTAAAAAGATAAAAGAAAAAGACACTCGCGGATTGACAGACATACACATATGAAAAACACACAAACGCAAAATCTTATACATCTGTTTGGAATCAACGCAAATATTTGAATATCACAAATTTAATAAAAACAAAGCAAAATCTGAATTAAAGTAACTGGATGCAAGTACACAAGTTATTACGGGCGAGTGGCGGCAGATTTAAAGTTACGGTAGTTACCGGGAGCACAACAAAAGTTTCCCCGGGGGGTTCTAGCACAAGCGGAGTTTGGGGCTACCGGTCGGGGCTGTTCTCCCCCCTCGACCGTGATTCTATCTATCGCAAGCCTACCGGCACAGCACATTACACATCTCTAGGACGAACATGCTGTCCGAAACTAGGCCGTTACGGTCTCCAGACCCGTAGTTGGATCTAGGCTAGCACGAAGTCGAGAACGTTACAACATCGCCGGCCGCCCCTGAATCTATCCAAATCTGCGGACTTGTGCAGATGACACGATGAGATCTCGCCAGCTCGACTAGGAACCGCACTTCGCTTCTGCCATGTTCTCTGTGTTATGTAACCTTAATTCCATTTGAAATGTTCAATCTCTTATAACTCTGATATTAACAACAACTGAACAAGCCTTAAAGTTTTAAAGGAGTAATAAACAACATTTAAATTCGCCATACAATCTTGTGGAATTTTAAACAACAAATAAATCTTATGTGAGATTAAAATTGGACATCACATAATTTATGTGACAGAAACATTCGTTAACAAAGTATTTACAAAACAAAACTAGTAAAGATTTATGAAAAACAAATGATCTGCTGTGAAATAAACTTGTGCCAATAGAAATATTATGAGAGGTTAAAACTGTAGAGCATTAATTTACGTTCAAATAAAATTATACAAGAAAGAAAAATACTGAAGTTAAAATTGTGAGATAGAGAAATATTGTATGAGGTGAAAATTTGCAAAGTTAACAAAATTTACATGAGATTAATATTTGCCACACTTTATCAACGATTCAAACAAAGAGTTTACATTATGTCAAATTATATTATGATCTAAGTGATTGGTTACTTAAAAAAAGTAATTTACTTTGAGAGTTTAGAATACCGTGAACTGGTTACCCTAACAAAACACATAATAAACAAACACAAAAATATCCAATCATCGTTGCGAGGAAAAAGCGTCTCGGTGATGTAATTTTATCGTCGCAAGGGAATACCTCGATGATGTATTTTTTTAGCGTTGCGAAGAATAAGGATCGTTGATGTTATTAATCTGTAGCGTTGCGAGGACATGCCTCGCCGATGTAGTCAATCTTTAGCGTTGTGAGGGCATGCCTCAGTGATGTGATCATGATAACGATGATAACCGCCTAAAGGAAGAAATTATTTTAACCCTCCCGCCAGTTAGTGGTATAATGAATTTTTTTAATTTAACTGCCGTAAATGAACTATTAGCAGTCTTGTGTGAAGAATTAGGAAGTGTTATAATGCAATGAGTAATTGCAACGAATTACTTTTTTGAGTAATTCAGTGACGTTTACAATTAAGTACTTTTTGCAATTACTTTTAACCCAAATACTCAAAAATATTGTTTTGTTTTTCTCTATGAATCGTTTACCTGCCCTGCTGAGATTATTATACCTGTTTCGTCCCCACAAAGAGAAGAATAACGCAGTAGGGAGTTAAAAATCTAAAACGAGTTTAGCAAGGAATTTGTAAATCAGGTAACCATAATATACATAAGCTCTTCATTATTTTAAGGGTGAGCTGAAGCAGATTCCAGCATTGGGAAATACATATAAACTTCTGCCCAAGTTTTGGCCAAAAGTATACGTCCGATTGTAATAATCTTCACACCGTTGAAATGAGCGTAAAAAAACCTACCCAGACTGCTTTTCCGCTTTTTAAATTTTCTTGTCAAAACAAAAACTACAATGCGTTAAAATTATGATGAGTATGAGATTATCTGGTTTTCGCTCTTTATGGGTCAATTTTAAATTTTCGAAAAAGTACATTAGTAGAAATTTTATTAAAAAATCCATTGCGCTTTACAGAAATAAAATATCTTAATAAATAATTGACTAAACAGTGGTAGAATATTTAAAATTTGTGGTTAAAAAAACTTTAGCCATTTTTCTGGTCCAGTCAAATCTATAACAGGTAACCGATAGAGCCCGTCCTTTTAAACCCCTCATAATCCGATAATAAAATTTTATGAGAGTGTCCACCCTCTAAGGTTCTCTAAATTTAATCTGTAAGTCGCAATGTCAAGTAAGAGGCAATTAAAGACAGACTTTTAAGTTTATATTATCTTGTAGCCCCCTCTAAATATTTGGGAACATCCGTTTTATTAAAGATTAAAAGATTTGCGTCGGTAAGTAATTATTATCGGTGGACTACTATTTACGATACATTTTCAGGTAGCCAATAAGATATTTTGAAATCTCTAAATTTTTGGGAAAATATGTACCATGTTCCCCACAACAATTCCATCCAGCGACGCAGTGGAAAGAATGTGTAGTGTTGGCGCGGATGGTTAAAAGTAATGTGTAATTGTAAAGGATCCTTTAAAAAAAGTAATTTAAAATTGTAATGAATTACTATTGTTACTGAATAATGAGTAATTGTAATGCATTACTTTTTACAGTAATTGTTCCAATCATTGTTTGTAAATTTATTCAATTAGAAGACGTTTGATTTTTTTGTTGCCATCAACATATTTCCGATTTAGTTGGATTTGGATTCTTTTATTTTGTTTTAAAATGGGGACATTTCTTTGAATTGTTCGTTAGACCTCCATAAGTTAAAAATTTAAGGCTGGAAATCGCCACCAAAATTTGTGTATTTTGCAATTTATCCTAGTTACGCCACTGGTGTGCTTTTGGTATTGAACGAACCCATGGAGGAAGGAATATTCCTTCCTCCATGAACGAACCCGCTACAAAATATCTCCGAAATGTCAAAGAGTAGGCAGCCAACATCACACTACGGTTGTTTAATAATGACTACATCATGTTAAACAGATTCTTGTTCACTTCTTACGTGTGCATCCGTTAAAACTACAAGTTCGTAATAAAAATGTTTTACTGATTGGTATCAATTTCACACTCCCGCTTTTTGAACGTACTCCAATTTCAACTGTCAATGTCAAAATCCACATGATCATCAAAAGTCATGGAAGTTATCCAACTGGACAAAGTTCAATAGTCGGTACATTTTAAAAAGCTGCTGGGGAGTGCGCTAGTGTTTACAGTTAATCTGGTATTTGTACAAAATTTTGAAAAATGTCGACCTTACGACTGTTTGGAGTTTTATCGAAAATATCCCGCACTAACATCAGTTTCAGTCGTGCAGGTAAATCAAGTTTTATGATTTCATTAACATAGTTTAATAGAAATCGGATTTATTTGTCGGCTTGTTGCACTTTGCACCTGAAACGAATTTGATAACTTCTGGTTTTCAGCCCAAATTCGCTGCATGGCTTCACAAGAAAGAAAGCACGCAAAACTCAAAGTTGTTGATAATGTAGGAGTTATAGTCTTGGACTCCCCGGGGGTCAAAGTAAGTACATTAAAATAAGTATTGAACATAATAATCTTAGGACTCAATTTTGATTTATTGTTAATATTAAAAAAAAATAAACTTTTTGCCATACTGCCATACATAAAAAAAAAACAAAATTTGACAGTTCGTGTCAACAAAATTTTGATATTTGCCTTTATCTCAAAAATGAATGGTAAAGTTTTGGAAGTTGGTTCCACAATAAATATCGAGAGAAGTGATGGTAGAATCCATGCAGCCATTGTAGCTAGTATTAACTATGACTTGGATATTGTTGGAGTCGAGTGGTTTGAAGCGGGCGAAACAAAAGGCAAAGAAATTGAATTTCAATGTGTGACCACATTAAACCCCCACCTTTGTTCCATCGTTAAGCCCGAAATCCAGCGCTTCACAGAAAGTACCTCAGAAATTACATTAGCAAATAAAACTAAGAAACGTCAATCGATAGCCGTTTTTAATAATCGTGTGAAATCGTCAAAGTCGAGAATGACCCAAGATAATTTAAGTTGTGGCCAGAAAAGCAAAAATTCGCACAAATTGAAGGGCCCCCAAACCTCCAGATCGGTTATAGAGCATATTTCGCACCCATACGAGGGTAGCGTTGTAAAAAAAATCGGAAAAATGGAAGTAGATCGAATGGAAAGGCGGAAGAAACAAGCAGAATGCAAAGCTGAAAAAGTTGAACTGAATAAAAAAAATGCTCATAATCCACATTGGGAGTTGAATCAGATGATTTCAGATTATTGTAAAAAGCTGCACTTTCAGCCTTTGACGATGGACGATGTTATTGAGGATCGATTGATAACCGTGTGTGTGAGAAAGAGACCTTTGAATAAGGGAGAACACGATAAGAAAGAAGTTGATGTCATAACAGTACCAAGTAAAAACCAGCTAATCGTCCACGAACCAAAAAGTAAAGTAGATTTGACTAAATACCTCGACAATCATTTATTCAAGTTTGACTACACTTTCGACGAAAATTGCAGCAACGATGTTGTGTATAGATACACTGCGCAGCCTCTGATTAAGACCATTTTTGAAGGAGGATTCGCTACGTGTTTTGCCTATGGTCAGACGGGTTCCGGTAAAACTTACACGATGAGTGGTGACGTATCCAGAAATAACTTAAATAAAGGCATTTATGCAATGGCAGCTACAGATATATTCCACTTAATTGCCTCTCCAAAGTACAAACACTTAAACTTAATCGTCACGTGTAGTTTTTTTGAGATCTACTCCCGAAAAGTTCTCGATTTGTTGAATCATAAAGCTGATTTGAAAATCTTAGAAGATGGCAGGCAACAAGTCCAGGTTGTGGGTTTGACAGAAACCGTTGTTTCTACCGTTGGTGAAGTTCTCGCTTTAATCACCGAAGGTACCACCGCTAGAACTTCAGGGCAAACTTCAGCCAATGAGAACTCTTCCCGCTCGCACGCCATTTTTCAAATGTATTTGCGACCTTGCAAGAAATTCAACTCCATTCATGGCAAATTTTCTCTGATCGACTTGGCTGGTAACGAACGTGGTGCCGACACTTTATCTTCCACCAAAACAACAAGAATGGAAGGAGGTGAAATTAACAAATCGCTTTTGGCTCTAAAAGAGTGCATTCGAGCCTTGGGCAGAAAAAAGGCCCATCTGCCCTTTAGACTAAGTAAACTGACGCAAGTTCTGCGCGACTCCTTTATCGGTACTAACTCTAAAACGTGCATGATTGCCATGGTTTCGCCTGGAGTGAGTTCTTGTGAGAATACTTTAAACACGCTTCGGTACGCGGATCGGGTTAAGGAGTTGGGAGGAGGCGATCTTCAGCAGTTGACCACTATTAATGAAAAAAATGAAATAATTTCTTTCAGTTCCGAGGAGGAGATGTTTAAACAAAGCAATTTTATGGATGATTATGAGGAACTGAAAGTCGTGAAAGAACAGGTGGCGATATCTCATAGAGAAGCGATAGATAAATTGCAAGAGGCCATGAAAGAAGCGAAGCATTTGGTTAAAAGTATTGAGAATGACCCAGAGAAGTATTGCAGACATTTTGAAGAGTTTATAGATGACACTGTGGCTTTCTTGTTGAATGTTAAGAATAGTGTCATTGAATATAAAATGAAGCTGTCAGTTTTGGACTAATTTTTCATAATAAATTTTCTGGCAAAGAAGTTTTATGTTGTGGTATTGTTCAGAAAGGTAATGGTGTCCCCATGAGCGAAAAAAGTGCATGAATAAATTGTACTAGGGTCCTTATAACAGTACAAAAGTTAGGCTAAAAATACAGATATAAAGTTTGTCTAGAATTATAAGAATTTTATGGACTCCCAAAGGTGCCCAAAGTTAATCCGTTTTACAGCTCTGTTGTCAATTTTATTGTACAGCTGAAGAGCGGGGCGAATCCGGGTACAGGAAACATCGGCTTTCCACTGACAGGCTCTTTACGTATACAACAGAATTGACATTGATAGTCCATAAAATTCTTATAATTCTGGATAAACTTTACAAGGTAATTTTAAAAGGTTGTGTATCAAGTTGGTTTTTGAAAATGCGTGAATTTTGATAACCCAACTTTCTTCCTTCATGTTATGTTCAACTCGAATTGATTGTATGTCAAGGAAACGGCAAATTCTTATTAAAAATACCCTGAGAGATTTTTTAAAACCACCGTGACGTACGACTTTTTATGACCACCTATAACCACAGGTATTGGAGCATGCCACTATAAATTTCAAATGAGGTGTACTTAAGTACTTAATTAATGCCCATGGTAAATTAACGGAGGTTACAGTTATACAACAAAGTAAAAGCTACATATTTATTAAACCTATTGCTACTTTAAACCATAAGACCATTTAATCGAAGTTAATGGACTTTAAAATATTATCAAAATTTTGTTTAAAAATGTCTGCTAGTTGAGAGCTTTCAAATTCAAACTGACTATTTGAATTTTGCCCAGCTGCAGTAGCTAAAGTTTCAAATATTTTTTCGACGTTTCAAAACTCCTAGAATATGAAAAATTAGGTCTGGGATGTTTGTTGTGGAATTTTGGATGTGTTTTAAGAATACCGTATAGATAGGCTAAGCAAAATTGGGTGACGCCATTACAAAGTCTCATTTAAAATGTGCAAAATAATTTTCTTTTACTTCCATGATTTATTAAATTGGTTGTACGCATGTAGATTTTTGAAAAAAAAAAAAGAAAAAGGAATAACTATAGCTACACAATAAAATTTTACAATTTAACTTAAAACCTTACTTAAGTTTTAAACGTTTTTTTGATCTTTTATAGTTCCGAGAATATGAAAAATTAAGTCTGGGGTGTTTGTTCTGAAATTTTTGAAGTGTTTTAAGAATATCATATAGCTAGGCTAGGCAAAATTTGACAAAATTTTGCTAAATAAGTCCCATTCAAAGTGTAGAAAATAATTTTCTTCTGCTTCCATGATTTATTAAATTAGTGTTACGTATGTAGGTTTTTGAAAAAAGAAGAAAAAAAATTAAAAGCTACACAACAAAATTTTACAATTTAACTTAAAACTGTCAAACCGTTCGTTCTGAAATTTGGTCCAAGCTTTAAGATTGTGAACTTTGTAAAAAAAAAAATTGAATTCTATTCACTTCTTCCAAAAATTTGATGATGTCATCGTAAAAAATGTTTAGCTAAATTTTGATTGAAATTTAAAGTGTGACAAAGTTCTTATGTCGTGATTTAATAATATGTTCATATTTTACATTATTATAAGAAAAAAAAAGAATAGATACAATTAATTGTTACAGTTTTTCTTAAAAAGTGTGAAGTGGATTTCAATCAAATTATATTATAAAAATTAAATTATAAAAAATTGTGTATTGATCATGTGAACACATTTTAATCCAATACGTGGTGTTGGATACATGAAATCGATCGGACTGTCATAATTTTGTAGATATCATGTCTTTATCCATAGTTTTCTCGATTTTATAATACTACAAAAAACGTAAAACTGTGCTGAGAATGAATCTGACAACTGTGGCTACTTTTTCAACTTTTTACTTCCTGAGCGTAAGCTAATTGTCGAGTTCTTTAGAAGGTATAACATAAACACTCGAAGTTAAGCATGTTATTGTTACTGAGAGGTCATTTTTCCCCGTTAGTTATCAGTTTTAAATATATTTTACAATATCACTACTTGTGCGGAACGCGTTCTATTGGCATTTGTGTCCCCACAGCACAGTTGCTGGGGGTATTACTTATGCCGCTGGGTTTTTTTTGTAGAGGTTATTACTAAACAAAAATCGCAAAATCAAATTTCATTTTTGAATCACCCTGTATAAGTGTCATCAAGTCTTTTTAGGATTGGTGTCGTTATCAGAAGATTTATTTAAAAAATTGATCCAAAGTTATTTAGACAGGCTTCCCTTACACCTGAAGTCAAACATTCAAACAAATTCAGTATGTTAGAAAATAAAATTCGACGTGGATGGGATTCGAACTCGCTCGAGTGTAGCTAAGTTCAACGCTGAAGCGTGTTATGCGCGTAATCCAAACATTTTTGTAAAGTAATTGTGATAAAAAATCAAGGCGGATTTATAAACCACAAACACAGGAGTATTATACAATTTATAATTTCAATAGTATTTACAATGAAACAGTTTGAGGGTACGTCATCACATTCTTGATGGGGATGATTAGACAAAGTTTGGTTGGTCTTTTACCATTTTTACCACGATGTTCCTAACATACATATAAAATCTGACAACAATCCAGTCCAGTAGTTTTGAAAGTTTCTGATGACGGAATTTCTAGAATTGACACATTTTTTAATGGTGAGTGATAGTATTTCACAAAAGTATTCAAATCACTGACAAAAATACAGCATTTAATTAAAAACGATTCCAACTAAAATAAAAAAGCTGACGGCATTTGTAGAAAAACTAGTCGAGGTATAATATCATCAATTTAGTCGTTTTTTATAGATTTCTTGTATCAGTTATTCGTTCCAGATTTCTCTATCTTTTCAAGTAGCTGAGACATTTAGAGTGACGCAGATAAACGGATACCGTTATTTAAAATTTTTTGAAACATACCAAATGATTACAAAGTATGTAAATGTTATACCATTGAAAAAAAATATCTCGTGTTTTTAGAGAGAACTTTCCTTGCCTCGTTAGAAAAAAAATTGTCGCCCATGAGGGGATCGCACTGGCGACCTTCGTTTATTAGCATGCCATTATAACCAGCTGAGTTATCGTGGCTTTCCCAATTTTGCGAAATGCTCTATTTCTAAGGAAAAAATTAAAGCGGATCCATAAGCCACAAATGCAGGGTTATGTTATTTTATAAAATTTATGGCATTTTGTCAGGCAAAGTTTTGAGGGAACGTCTTCAAATTGTTCGTGGGGATCATTAGACAAATTTTGGTTAGGGTTTTACCATTTTACACGATATTCCTAACATAGAACATTATTTGAATAATAAAAAGCACAGGCGACAGACAAAAATGGGAGATCTATTTTTTCATAGTGTCAAATAAAGTGTCAAATAGCTGCAATGTCAACATCATTGTTTTAAAAATAAATTTCATGGTCTACTAGATGACTTTTTTTTCAATCATTTGGTATATACCCGGTTCCTAAGATTTTTGCACTTAAGTAGTAGTTTTATCCTGGGCGTGTTGCTTTCAACAGTATATGTTTATAAGTAGAATTACTGCAGAGGGTTCGATTTTAGATAAATTATCTCTTATGTAGGTACGCTGGCAATATGTAGTTTGATTGTTAATTTATGTTTAACACTCTATGAAACATGGTTGCCAATTTTTTTTGCTAGTTTCTTTGCGAAATCACGTACATTGTGCTAATTCTAGGTGAATTCGTTAAACGCCGAAGTCATGGGCGAATTTGGTTCCATTCTGCACGAAATCGAATCCAACCCCCAGATCCAAGCTGCAGTATTAATTTCCGATAAACCCGGTTGTTTCATTGCTGGAGCTGACATCAGCATGCTTCAACAGTGCAAAACGGCCGAAGAAACGACAAATATATCTCGCGAAGGTCAAGAAATGCTCACCGCCATTGAACAAAGTCGAAAACCCATCGTTGCCGCCATCCAAGGTGCTTGTCTGGGCGGAGGGTTGGAAGTCGCGCTTTCCTGCCACTACAGAATAGCGGTGAAAGACAAAAAAACTGGACTGGGTCTTCCGGAAGTGATGTTGGGGCTTCTTCCGGGTGCCGGAGGCACCCAACGTCTGCCCCGATTGATTAATGTCCCAGATGCTCTAGACATGGCTCTCACGGGAAAAACGGTGAGAGCCGATAAAGCGAAGAAACTAGGTGTCGTGGATTTGTTGGTCGATCCTCTGGGTCCTGGTTTAAGCGAACCGGAAGTGGTCACGAGGAAGTATCTAGAGGACGTGGCTATAGATATCGCCAAACAGTTGGCGAACGGGAAATTGAAGGTTAATCGTAAGAAGACGGGTGTTGTGGATCGATTGCTCGAGTTTGCGTTGCAGTATAATTGGGTTAAAGATCAAATATTTGCGAAGGCGAAGGGACAAGTTATGAAGTTGTCGGGTGGTTTGTATCCTGCACCTTTAAGGGTATTGCTGTCACGATGGTATATTAGAATTTTTCATGGCCATTTTTAGATATTGGAAGTTGTACGTGTAGGTCTTGATAAAGGCAAGAAAGCTGGCTTTGAAGCTGAAGCTAGAGCGTTTGGTGATCTTGCAATGACTCCTCAGTCTAGGGGTTTGATGAATTTATTCCGCGGTCAAACCGAATGTAAAAAGAATCGATTTGGTAAACCTTCAAAGCAGGTCAAAACTATTGCGGTGTTGGGTGCTGGTTTAATGGGTTCTGGTATTGCTCAAGTTTCTGTGGATAAAGGGTACCAAGTGATTTTAAAAGATTCGAATCCTCTTGGTTTGGCGCGTGGTCTTGGTCAAATCCAGACCGGTCTTGAGGGGGCAGTGAAAAGGAAAAAAGTCACAGGGTAAGTTACACACTTTTTGGGTAGGCAGGAATTTTGTTTGGGTTTCGACTGATGATGTTGAATGAAAACACTTCCAATACTGATAACTTGGCTTCACACTCAGCTCAAAAAAATCCCTGCCTACCTAAAATACACGATTTTGCCTATTTTTAAACGCCGAACTACATATATTCGCACGTTCATCATCTGTATTTTTAGTCTTGAAAGAGACAGATTTTTATCCAACCTAGATGCAACATTGGATTACAAAAATTTCAAAAAGGCTGACATAGTAATTGAGGCTGTGTTCGAAGACATTAATGTAAAACATAAGGTTATAAAAGAAGTAGAAGCTCTTATATCACCTGAATGCGTGTTCGCTACAAACACAAGTGCTATTCCGATTACCAAAATCGCTGCAGCTTCCGCCAGACCTGACAAAGTCATTGGTACTACGTTCTAGTTGTAAACTCGAATCGATCTAACCGTCGTTTCCACAGGCATGCACTACTTCTCTCCAGTAGACAAAATGCAGCTGCTGGAAATCATCACAACCGACAAAACTAGCAAAGAAACAACGGCACTAGCTGTTGATGTCGGGCTAAAACAAGGAAAAGTCGTCATAACCGTCGGTGACGGCCCTGGCTTTTACACCACTCGTATTCTCTCCGCCATGATGGCAGAATCCGTAAGACTGTTACAGGAAGGTGTCGAGCCCAAAGAACTAGACTCGCTAACCAAGAAATTCGGCTTCCCAGTCGGAGCAGCAACTTTGGCCGACGAAGTCGGCCTGGACGTCGCCTCTCACATTGGACCTGACCTCCACAAAGTAATCCTTCCTAAAAAACTAAAAACTCCTCTATGTGTGTGATTTACAGGCATTCGGGGAACGATTCGGAGGAGGTGATTTGGGCGTGATGCGCGACATCGTCCAAGCCGGTTTCTTTGGAAGAAAATCCGGGAAAGGAATTTACATTTATCAGAAAGGAAGCAAAAACCGGGATGTCAATCCTGAAGCTATAGATATAATCAAACGTTACTCGCTTGAGCCGAAAGGTGCATTCGAAGAAGAGGATAAACAGCTGAGGATGGTTACGAGATTCGTGAATGAGGCGGTTTTGTGTTTGGAAGAGAAAATTTTGGATAACCCGCTGGAGGGTGATGTAGGTGCAGTATTTGGTTTGGGCTTCCCTCCATTCACCGGTGGACCGTTCCGCTGGGTCGATGAGTATGGTGCTGCTAAGTTAGTGAAGAAGATGGAACAATTCCAGAATGCCTACGGTCGGCCTTTCCAACCGGCTCAAACTTTGTTAGATATGGCAAAGGATCCGTCTAAGAAGTTCCATAGTAAATAAATCATGTATTATCGTGTGCCTTATTCTTCGGCTCTTATTTTATTTTGTACTGAGGAGAATACTATTTCATACTTTTTTAAATTATAGAATTATACAATAGTGTGTTCATTGTTATTGGACTCTTTAAGGTCTATTTTTCTGTAAATAAATTTTAACTTCCTAATTGGTTTCACATCTGAAATTTTCAACAGCCGGAAGTTAGTGTTAATTGAAGACAAATAAGTCAGTGATTCGTTTGTCACAGATTTAATACATAATTATTGCTGTCAGCGTGTATCTTAATAAAATGTGATCATTTACATTATGCGCTCAAAATTTGGCCTTCAACTGTGATCGTCAACAAAATGAAACCCTACGTTGTTTTTTTCCTTGAAACAATCCCAAGGTTGGAAAAATGCTCCTAAATCAAAATGCAAAATATGGAGGGCAAATTGAGAGAGTAAATCTGGAAAGCAGCTGCAAAAACCCAAAAATGAAATCGAATTGATACTATTAACAAAGTACGCAGGACGGTGACAGCAGTACGAAGGGCGTCTTCTCGTGACGGTTTATAAAATAAAAATAATATTTCGAGAATAAATGTTCAAATTCAAGCTGTAAGAAAATAACATTGATGTAATACAAAATAAACATAATTAAGTTAACTGATGATAATTCTCAAGGTTCTTCTAAAAATGGATCAACGTTTAAGATTAGTTTTAATACTATAAATGAACTATTTTAAACATAGAGTGAGAAGTTATGAAGTGTGGATAATGATAATTTCTTTTCCTCTACCACGAAAAAGCCGTGGATGATATTCCTCTATACATGGTTGCCTACGTTATTGTATGATTTTTCGTATTTTTAATTTTTCAAAGGCGGTTTTACCGTTTTTTTTCTTTCAATGCGAAATTTAAATTTCAAATTCAGGACACCACAGTCGAATATGATAAATTCCCTTTACATCAGTGTCTTAATTTTGAAATTATTAATGAACTTAGGCCTGTTTATATCGCACTTTTAATCACCTAATTAACGTTATGTTTCACTTAATTTGACGGATTTGTTTGCAAATCTGTCAAATTAAGTAAAACATAACGACTCAAAGTGCGGTGAAAATTGACATTAATAGTTTCCACTCTGACGTAATAAATATTCGAAGTGAAGATAGATTCTTTTCAAAACGTTCCCAGATATACTGAATTATCTCTGGGGTAATTTAGGATATTCTCTACAATGCATGCGCAGACCTTCCCTCGAGTTGATTGACCGATGTAAATTTTGGATTTCCATGACCCCATAAAAATCCAATAGAGGTAAATCTGGCGATATGGCTGGTCAGTCAATAACACATCGTCCTTCTGATGCATTGTACTGGAAAGGTCGTATCTAAATATTGTGGAGCAGATGCGCATGATGCGGAGAAGCTTCAGTCTGTTGAAATATCAACGTATCATTGAGAAAAGGGTCATTATTTTCACTGATATGAGATTGGATTAATGGTGTCTTTTAAAAATTTGGGATACATTTTTTCAGTAAAATTATTACGTAAGAAAACCAGACTATAGTAGAATTCTTTTAATTTTGTAAAACGGTATGTTTCTGCTTTTGTGTTCGTCCGACACATTGAAAATTGTATTTATGTAGTATACGTTTCCGCCCTTAAAGTTCTAAGAAGTGCGGGAATCCTTTTATCTGTGTAAATGCAGTGCAGTCAGTTTTACAACACCTTGCTAAAATTAGAAGAATTCTCCTGTTATGATACTGTGGGGGTTTGTTGGTGATTTTGAGAAATAGCGACGGTTACGGTTTTTCAGATTTTTATTATTCCTACAGTAGCCCCCCTGCTAGTGTTTTTCATGAAAAACGGCTTTGCAGGCGCTCAGGGAAGCGCACCCGTCTTCCCGACCTAGTGGTCCTCGCTGTTGTGGAAGCTGGCACCTCGTCGTGTGGTTGATCTGCGAAGGGCGCTGGTTCGTCTGTTGTTTTCGCCGATTGCTTTACGACTCTGTATGGACCGTCGTGTTGAAATGGTTGCTTGGGACCGTCGTGGCGTACAAAAACTTTTTCGGAGGTGGAGAGATCTTTGAAAATGAAGGTCTTCTTTGTTTCGTGTCGCGTTCCATCACATAGTTTCAAGTTACGCACGCGTTGACGTAACTCTTTGACGAAGCTTGCGGTAGGTGTTGACCATACACGAGCTCCGCGGAGGAACCCTGGAAGTCTTTTTTCCAAGCTGCTCGAATGCCGAGCATGACACTGGATAGGGCTTCAGTCCAGCGATTATTCTGGTGGCACATAATTGCCCCTTTTAGCTGTCGGTGTAGGCGTTCAACCATTCCGTTGGTTGAGGGGTGGTAGGCTGTCGTTCTCAAATGAGTAGTTCCTAATAAACAATTTAGTTGTTTAAATAGGTATTACTCGAGTTGTCTCGGTGGTTACTCGTAGCGGGGTGCCGAATCGTGCGATCCATGTATCGTAGAAGGCTCGTGCCACGGTTGCTGCTTCCTGATCGCCAATTGGTACGGCTTCTGGCCAGCCGGTGTACCGATCTACCATGGTAAGGCACGGACAACCCTCTGAGAGTGGCATAATTACTATGTCCAAGTGCACGCTTTGACTGATGGCCAGACGTAACGTTGCGTCACCAGTTTTACGGTGGCTTTAATGCCTGGATGGGATAGACGATGAATCGACTTGAATGCAGCCTGGCGAAACGACTCAGTGACGATGCGCTGTTCGCGTGGAGACGTCGCAGAGTACCGAAGTATCACTTTAAGCTGAAGGCCTGTATTCCCTGTCCGAAATCTTTTGAGTTCCTCATCCTGCTGTTGTGCTGTTTGCCAGAGCCTGGAAATCGATCAAGGTCTCAAGGGCAAAGAGCATCCGCGACAACATTTTCGGTCCGTGCAGTGGCGAATGTTAGTCGTGAATTGACTAATGATGTCTAGGTGTCGTATTTGGCAGGGTGAGGACTCGGTATTCTTCTTCTGAAAGGCGTACGTGTTCGGCTTGTGGTCTGTATAGATGGTGAAAGATCGCGTCTCCACCATGTGCCTAAAATGGTTGACCGCGAGATAAACGGCTAGTAATTCTCGGCCATAAACCCCGTAGTTCGACTAGGTGGTACTCAGTTTCTTGGAAAAGAAGTCCAACTGTTGCTAGTGACCATTGACCTTCCGTGGGAGGACTGCGCCGACGGCGAAATCTGACGCGTCCGATATGCTAATAATGTGTCTCCGGCGAGGCTCTTCTTGCACCCCTCGAATGCGGCCACCGTTTCTGGTGTCCATTTGACCGGAGCTTTTCTCTTGACGTTGCCCTGGAAGAGGTCGTTCAAGGGTGCTTGAGTCTCTACTACCTTAGGTAGGAATCTCTTAAAAAAATTCAACATACCCAAGAACGGACGCAACTTTTTTACTGTATTTGGCTGCGGAAAGCTGCGGATTGCTTCGACCTTTTCTGGAGTGGGCGTGTATCTGCGCCGGAAATGAGGTATCCCAAGAATTTGACCTCTGCCTGGCCGAAAACGCATTTCATGGGATTGATAACGACGCCGTACTCTCTCAAACGCTGAAACACAGTTTCCAAGAGCTGGAGGTGTTCTTCTGGTAATGCGGATGCGAAGAGGATGTCGTCGATGTATGCGTCGCAAAAATCGAGATCCTGCAGCACCTCATCCATGCCGAATGGGGTGGCAATGGCAGTCTTCGGAACGTCTTCTTCTGCGACCGGGATTTGGCTGTATGCTCGAACCAGATCGATCGTTGAAAATGTGATTTTGCCATGTAAGGATTGCGCAAAATCATGGATGTGCCTCACCGAGTACCTGTCGGGACAGGTTCTCGCGTTGAGGGCACGGTAATCCCCGCATGGCCTCCATTCGTCGCCCTTCTTGGGCACCATGTGAAGCGGTGAAGACCATGAACTTTGGGAAGGACGGATGATTCCTAACTGGACCATGGCGTCGAATTTTTTTCTTGCTGCCTGGAGTCTGTCGAGCGCGAGTCATCGGGGACGTTGCGCAATGGGAGGGCCCGGCGTGGTTACGATGTGGTGGCGGGTGGAATGTTTCCGACTTAGGGGTTCCGTTTGGACGTGTCATATCGGGAAACCGTTGGAGGAGTTCGTGATACGGTGAACATTTGGCGATGGTTTTGATGCACGGGATCGCACACTGAGTCACCTCTCCGGTGAAAGTGAATTGGGTAATTTGATCGTGCAGTCGCTGGTTTTTTATGTCCACCAGGAGTCCGTAGTGAGCCAGGAAGTCGGTTCCGATAATGGGGTTCACCACGTCCGCGACAACAAATCTCAACGACAACGTGATGGTTCCGTACATCGCGATGACGGTGCCGTTTGCCGCGGAAAGTTCATATGCGGACTTCGTACGCGGTTTTGGCAGCAGGGAATGCGGGAACACTCACAGATCGGCGCCGGTGTCGATTTTTTCCCTGTTGTCCTCTCGATGGTGGGGCAGGCGTCAACGGCCGTCGTTAACTACTGCCCCCGGCGTTTCCCGCCGGTATGGAACTGTACCTACACGGCTTGTCGCATCTTCTTGATTTGTCGCCGAAACGCCAGTGATACCAGCAAATACCGCTGTCGCCTTTCGTTCGTTGACGGGATCGCGACGATGTCTCTGACCGCGAGTCTGATCGTGAACGGTTTTGGGGCTGCGATAACCGTGGGGCCCCGATTGCAGCCAGCTTCTGTAGGATGACCGCCAAGGTGTGTTCTATCCCGACTTCCCACTGGGTTGATGACTGGGTCGGGGGTGGATTCGTATTTGTAACGTTTGACGCCATCGTTTTGATTTCACTCGAAATTTCGCACTACACTCGTCGCTATCACTGCTAATATTCACGTTTCTTTTCTTTTTAATCACGTTGGTGTCACCAGTTGTGGGTATCGTTGGAGATTTTGACAAAAATAGCGATGGTTACGGTTTTTCATATTTTTATTAGATGCTTACGGTTTGGAGAGCTCGAGGAAGAAGGAGGAAGGGTGTTTGAATGGTCGGCAGGTAGGTTCGGTTTTGGAGAGCTGGAAGCCGGTAAAGAAACAGTTTAGAAAATTATAGAAATTGGAAGAGAAAGTAGAAGCATGGGGCAGGTAGACGAAAGATAGGACGTATTTACATTTGTACAGAGTTTTACATAAATTATAATAAATGCGTTCAGGTAGATCACGTGTTTTTGGGGGAACGGTTGATCCTACTATACTATCACAAAAAATGCTAACTGAAACGTGTTAACTTTTACCTTTTACGTAATTAAAGTCCTACCAATAGCGAAATTCTAGAAACAGCTTTGGTAGTCTTCCTTAAGAAGTAGGTCTACGCTCAGATTTACGGCGCCGGCGTACTTTCGGTGTTGGTAAATCTTGAAAACCCCTTCGGTAGTCTCCTTCGAGCTTTCCGAAAGTACCCTCGGCGATCTTGTACGGTAAATTATGTAAACAACGTTATAGCCCAAAATTTGGCATGTGAACAAAACATACATATTCAATATGATCAAAATCAAAATCATCTGGTGTCGGAAACCCTACGGTCTAGAGTGGAGCCGTCGAGAATAAATTTTCAATTTAAGACGCAAAATATTTTATTAAACCTCCAAGATAATAATTAGATCTGAAACAAACTATTAAATCTGTAAAAAAATATTAAACCCCTTTCGTTGTTCGAGTTCATAACGTATGAATTTAACCGCAACTTTTCAAGGTCCTTTCAAAATGCACCAAAGTTTAGGTTGGTGTAAATACCATAAATGAGTAAGAAATTAAGAAGTGCGCTATAATGTACCTAATACTTAAGTAAAAACATCCAGAAACTTTAGTTATAACTTGATAAACAAAAGAGTGAAGCCTGAATAAGTGAATTTCCTGACACGTGGTTGATACGAACAATTTCATGACTGTTAGATTTTGTTAGAACCAGGAACAGTAAAAAATTTTAATACGAACTGTGAATTTACAAATGAAAAAAAATGACACCACGTGTTGACTTCGGCGAAACAATTCAGATTAGAAAACCATCAATAAATAACAACGTTTTAAATTTTCATCACCAAAATTAAAATGAGTCTATCTATTAATTTAATTGATCAAAATGTTCAAAGTCCTCTCTTTCAAACTAACTACTAATTAGTGTTTTGGACAGCATATATCGCACCAGGGGTCCTAAAGCAACCTAAGCGAACACATTTTAGGTTTAGGACAAATATTCGCACCAGAACGTTACTGGTGTAAGGTCAAGCACAGGAAGAAGTTTTCACTGTATATTGTATGCCACGTTGGGAAGCTTTTTATGACAGGGGGAAGTAGTTGACGGATTTCAGCTAGCTTTCGTATCCGAATTGACGGTGGGAAACGAGGGAGTAGGTTTTGTGTTTATGAGTTTACCGATACCACATAGACCTTTTAGTTTTATTCACCTTTCAACTTCATAAAGTATACAATATACCGTTTGAATGCGATTTGTATGATTTGTGTCTAGTGAAATAAAAGAAGAAAACACAAAATATCCACAAAATCGTAGTTTATGAAGTACTGAATTTTCCGGGAAAATGATATTCTTTGGGTAAGTATTAATTATGAAACACGTCAACTAGAGGAAAGCATTCTGGGATTCGTTCTCGTTTATGTTGCTTTCGAGAATTAGGACAATTATAACGTGGGGTAAGGGTAAATGAAAGCTGAAAATGGAACAGAGGACCGTGACAACTAACGTTGGCGTTAAACATTACGTGTTATGTTTAAAGAGCGGATTTTAGGCTAAAAAAGCCAAAATAGGCGATAAAAACGGGAAATTTAGGCCCGAAAAATGGCAAAATAGGTCCGACAAAATAAGTTTTAGGCAATGTCGAGTTTTTTTTTTTTTGAGATCTGCATTTATTTTATTATTTTGCGTAATCAACGATCTTAATCTTTGTTAAAATTTTGTTTGTTAGGAACTATTAGCAATCTTGTATGAGGAATTAAGAAGTGTTATGTTATAATGTAACACTTAAGTATTAGCATCCAGAAATCTTATTCATAGTTAGACAAACAAGTCCTGACTATAAGTGAATGTCATGAAAACTCCTGTAAGTGTTTATCTAAACAAATTCCTGATTGTTAAATTGTGTTAGAACTAGTTACGGATTAAACTCCTAACATGAACTGTGAATTTACAAACAATGAATTAAATTTACCCGTGTTAGCGTCGGTCCAAAAATTCGCATTTTTCCTATTAGAAAGCCGCAAGAATTAACTACACGCGTTGGGCAAACTGTGGTGTCGTCGTCGTTATGATTAATTGTCGTTAACAAAGGCTTCCTCCCTTTTATTAACTACCAAGCCAACTAACTTAACCCAGCTAACTTACCGCGTCTTTTCACCATGCTGTCACTCACGAAAACAAAACAATAGTGCCGCGACCCTCTACCAAGCGGCCACCTTGTACCTACCAACCCTCTAAGCAGAATTCCCTAGTGAGGTACCAACTACCCAAAAAGCGTTAACGTGCACATGGTTGCCCGTGTTTAACGATTTTTTGACTGGATTTTTTTCAAATGCAAATTATTCAAATGTAATTTCACAGCGCTGTTAATTTTTTTCAGCGCGAAATTTTAATTCAAATTCGGTCACCACAGTGTTTTGTTTAATTTAAAATCTACCTATGTCCTACGTACTTAGTTGTGCAATAAAATTTTTCTTTGATGGTGTACGCAGAAAAATAGATTTGGGTATTGAATTGTCGGTATTTTGCAAACGGAATTCCCGACTAGTTTACCCAAAACTCGGGTTGGATTATCTTTGCATGTAGTACCGGAAATATTCAATGTGACTTTCGCAAGAAAGATGTGCTTAGGAATATAGAAAATTAAGACTTTAGGACAAAATAGGGGGAAAAAAGTAAAATACGTTGAAAAAATGCAAATAAGGCACTCATGATCAAAAATAGGCAAATATTCAAAAACAGGTAGGGCTCAAATAAAAAGATTTTGTCAGATACACATTTACATATGTAGAACTTTCATGTATTTGCCTGCAGCCAGAATGAAAAGGCATTTGCTCTAGAATGGGCTCTTTAGCGTACCATGGCCATTGATTTTGTGTGCGGCAACTACTAATACAGTTTTACATTTACGTTGCATACTTAACGTCAGTTCACATTGGCTTTTCCTTAAATCTACGGTCATTTCTGGTTATTAAAGTAATAACCATAACTACAGTATAGACTATGATTTCTGTCAACACTGTAGTGTTAAATGTAGCGTTTTATACCGGGGTATCTTTTTATGATTTTTGTATTGTATGCGATTTAGATATCCGGTGCTTACCAACCGATTTATTTTTGATGTCTTACAAAATAGTTTCGAGTGCGTTTACTTATTTATACCCACTTCCCATTTGTACACGTTTCTGAAAAATATAAGAAATAGTAATCGTCTTGTAATTCTGCGTCCGTAACGACTTCCCGTTCGTTTGCCCGCTCCCGGAAATTTTGCAGGATGTTTAATTTTCGAAATTTACTGCACGGTTAATTATAGCTAATGCAGCATAGGCAAAACATTCGTTCCGTAGCGCAAAATCCTGAATTATTATCCCCCCGACCGGCGTCAGCAGGCGTCCGCGTCCACGCCGCCGGCGGCGCTCTTGACCGTCCCCCGTGTAAAAGAGCGCCCCCTAAAAATAGCCCAATCACAATGGACTCGGACCTTGGATGAGTGTCTGTAATTTATGTAGGATTGTTTTGAGGTCAGAATTTCGCTATGTGGCGAGCTGAAAAAAGCTCGGCAGACCGGGTTGGCGTCGCGGCTCGTAGTGGCGGGCGTCGGCAGTGCGCAGGCGTCGCGACGCTGGCGTCGGGACGGTGCGCCCGGCCACCCGGGGGACCGGGCCAGTGCCGCGCCGACTGCCGCACGACCGATCGAAATGCCGAGCTGATATTTATTAATATCCGAAGCCAGAGCGAGCTCTAGTGCGCTTTCGCACAACGACAATCGCGAGTGTGATGACGAGGGTGACCGGTGTGTGGTGAGCGTCGGGCATGCAACAGGCGAACCAGGTGGGGGACAACGGGGGCCCGGCCACCTCCCCCGCGGCCACCGGGGCCACGGGCACGGCCACCACCAGGAGCCACGTGAACGGCGGCCGGTTCGACTTCGACGACGGCGGCACCTACTGCGGCGGCTGGGAGGAGGGGAAGGCGCACGGACACGGCGTCTGCACCGGGCCCAAGGGCCAGGGGGCCTACTCCGGCTCCTGGCACTACGGATTCGAAGTCTCCGGGGTCTATACTTGGCCGAGGTAATACAACACGCAGCCCAGCGGCCGAACGCGCGTCACAGACATTTTCCTTACCGATTCGCTGCTCGAACGGCACGATTCTAGCACGAGTACCGTTTAGACGGGCACTTTCTACCGCATCTAGCTCTGCCATCACGTGCTAGACCGAGATTTTTTCTGAGCGCTTTTAGGAAGTTTCCAGACCCACTTCAAAAATAGAAGCAATAACAGTGTAGGTTGCTTAAATTGAGCTATTCATTTAATCAGGCTAGGTTTTATTCTTGAAAAACCTCGTTTCCGTAAACATAACACTAGGAGTTACCCTTTTTTCAGTGTATTGAGCGAATTCATCAGGTGGTTTTCGTGGATTCCGTGTGAAATCGCTAAGATTGGAACGGTGACTCATTTTTTTAATTGAAATTAGGCCAGTGGAGAATTTTCTAATTAGTATCGTGACTTAGAACAATGAACAATAGTTCTAGGATTGTTTTACATCCACTTTGGCCTTAGATGACATCAATCTTATGTTTTTTGACGTTCAACACAAAACAAAATGGAAAAGTCCAAAAATATACTTGCTTATTTATACCTACAATGTTATTTTTATAAAATCTACTTGACTTTCTTCGTTTTTCTTATTACTACTAATCACTACTAATTGTTGTGATATCTATCTTTCTCGCACTCGTGGAATTTAAGGGGACTTTCTTTGATGAAATGATACTAACATAGACGTATTATACATCAGACTGTAGGTTTTTTCATGTTCTAAGCCCCTGAAAACAGTTCAACCAACCAAAAAAATGTGACAGAGAATGATCGTAAAAAAGCACCATTGTCTTCTGTTTTTTCCCCTTTTTGTGTATCTGATACTGACAAAGCAACGTATTTTAAACCCCCTGTCATATTAAACATTTGTCAGTAGTACAATTTATTTAAATAACAATGTCTTTATTAAAATCAAAATCTACCATAGATTAATTCAAAATACGCCGAATGATTTTGATAGAAGTATTGGTGGAAAATTAGTGATAGTCCTTGGCAGAGTTTTTAGAGATCACGGAAACCCGCAGTGAGGAGGCGGAGCAGTCTAATATACCTCGCTGCTGGGTACCGACAATACTTTTGCGTGCGATAGTGACTTTCGACAATTACTTCATAGATCTTTCTTTAGCAAAGTTTATTAGTGAATGTTTTAGTAAGTAGCGTAGATACAAACAAGAAACCAATGGAAGAGCTTTGAATTTTATTCACATTCTAAAAAAAAAAAAAAACAAATTGCATAGTTTAATGTTTAAATAGTTAAAGTAAATAAATGAATACAAATTTAAGTATTTCCCCAACAATTCCATTTACAGGACAAATTGCAGAAATACGGAAAATGATTATTTTGGGTTGAAGGTCTATTGTCAGTCTGTCATAAATTATCAATACTCTTCAATATCAATCTAGAAGGGTTTTATGACCCATGTCCCGTAATTGTCTATCCTTTTTACTCATCTCAGCTTAGGAAGAATTGGTGTTTACATTTAGGGGAACAAATGGCACCTATTCAAACTTGCCTGTCGTTTCGTCTTAAATCTCCGGGTCTTCGTTCTCCAATTCTAAGAAACCGATTCACACAGGATGACCACATTTGTTCACGATTAACGTTGAATGATCTTTTCAGAATGGGCTGGCACCGTTGTGTATATGGTCGTCCGGAAAAATGAAATTCCAACCGGAAAATATGGTGAAACGTCCAATACACGTGAACACCAATAGGTAGACAGTTTTTCCTGTCGGTGCAGGATTTTTCTGAATAGAATATTTATTTGACATATAATATTTAAGTAGACGATCAGAACGAGTACAGTAAAAAGGCACTAATTTGTAAATAATAGTCCTAGGTTAAATGTGAGTGTGAATCTGATCTCATATCAGTGGAAAGGATTTCCTGATTCCGCGAAGATGTAATGTCATACCTCGTTTCTATTATTACGTTGTTATTTTGACGTTTATCACAGTTTAATGTAACACAATATGACTTACCGCCGGAAGCAACAATGTGCGAAATTCGCTTTTGTTTTCATTTGTTACTTGATGCCAGATTTAAAGGATCACCCGTGTGTTAAAAATAATGATTTTTATTCATGTACATTCTATGTTCCAAATGATAATGTTTTGGTTATAAATAAACGTTTCAACCAAATATAAAGATTTCTTAGATCTTACACTGACTGGAACAATAGAATACTAACAAGAGAGAAACAAAAACACGATCAAAAACAGCCATTGATTTGGATTGTTTTTGAAAGTTTGTCTTTGATTGGTTCATTTTCAACTCAAACTTTGGCTGTGCGGTAATCATTGAATAGAGCTTTGTTTGACTGAGTGTTTTCAGGAAGCTCCCAGATCCTGTTCAAAAACAGAACAATCATCGTGTAGGTCGGTTAAATTAAGTTAGAGTTTTCTCTGGAAGCTGCTAATACTGTAACATTTACAATTTTTTTGTCGCACGTCGTAGCCCGAGTACGGTTCGAAGGTCATTTTCTAGCACATCTAGAGTCACCAACACGTGCTAGACTGAGCTTTTTTCTGAGCGTTTTTATGAAGTTGCCAGACCGAGCTCAAAAATAGTGTGTAGGTTGCTTAGTTTGAGCAATTGAGCGTAACTTCCATAAAAATAACCTTAGGGGTTACATTTTTTGGTGTATTGAGCGAATTTATCAGGTCGTTTCGTGGATTTTCAGTGAAGTGGCCGAGATTGGAATAACTATGATTCAAAAAACAATTTTAGGTGTTTTGAGGTTCAACACAAACCAAAAGCGAAAGTGTCCAAAAATACTTGAAAATATCATGACTTTGGTGACTTTTTTCGTTTTTCTTAATATTTTTAATTGCTGGCATTCGATCTTTATCCATCAACACCTGTCTTTCTCTTACTCATGGGAATTAAAAGTATGTGGTGAAGCGACTTTTTTTGAACATTTACTTGACCGGAAACGACAGACTTAAAATGATTTTGGATGTTTTAGTGAATATTGTTTTCATAAGAATTTATTGCCCAAATATAATATTAAGTACAAGATGGGAACAAATACAGTAAAATGATTCAACATTTGCAGCAGTCTTATATCGGTGGAAAGGATTTCCTGATTCCACGAAGTAAATCTAATGTCATATCTCGTTTTATTATTACGCATTTATTACGTTGTTATTTTGACGTTCGTGACAGTTTAATGAGACAAATCTGACTTAGCGCCGGAAGCAAAATCATGTCGCATCCGGTTTTGTTTTCATTTTTTACTTGATACCAGATTTAGAGGATCACCCTTATGTTAGAGATGATGATTTATGTACATTTTATATGATAATTGCTTTGGCCCGGTTGTCGGACGGTAAATATTGAATGGAGCTTTTTCGAGTGAAAGCTTTCCGGAAGATTCAGATCCTGTTCAAAAATAGAACAATAATCATGTATTAAATTAACAGAGATGACCATCCTAATCGGAATGGCGTGGAAAATTTGCAACACTGTTGAAAATGTTTTGAAGCAGTATTCTTAGAAATCTTATCTTGGGCTGTCTTAGCTGTGGTTAAGAACCTATTCCTATTTTTTTTTCTTTTACAGATATATACATCTTATAATAATAATTGGTGCTTGTACATGATTTTTATTTTCGAAAATACAAAACATTGTTACTGATTGCTTTGAAAAACTTGATGCTGTCATTTTAATAAATTATCAATTAAATCTGAATCGAAAAATATGTCCTGAGATTGTTTGGCTTCAGTGTTGATTTATTTTATCGACCGGCTCATTAATTTAACGTTATGATTATAGTGTAGATATGAGAACAGATATGTTTAAAGGTGATAACGCTTAAAAAATATAAAACAAATTTTATCGAGAAAAACGCCATCAGATGCGTGCACATAATTTTTTAATCAAATTTCGATAATACATAAACCACATGTCTAAAACGAAAATTATTCTTGTAGGTTATTTTAGGTTACTTTAGTCGCGAAACTAGGTTATTTATTCGGAGTGACTATTCGTACACACAGTATGTACGAATAGTACAAGAGCTATTCATACATCCAGTGTGTACGAATAACTACAGCGCTATTCGTACACACAATTGTACGCCCACACACGAATGATTCTGACTGTGCCTATTTTTCAGTTTGATTTCGTTAAATATTTAGTGACCATCATCAAATAGATAAAAGGTACGTGTATGTATATCAGTATCATTCAGTAATTACGTGTACTAACATAAGTCCAATCATAGCTTTGCAGATATAAGCATAACTTCAAACTTTTGCCGCCACAAATGTTCCCAACGTACCTTCAAACTCCAGACATTCCAGATCGAGTTTAATAATTTTTACAAGTACTGCACATCTTTTCTATAACAAGATAATAAAGTTACAATATGTTAACAGTCGGAAAAACTTTCGAAACTTACGAAGAGTGGCGCTAACTTTAAAAAATTACGAAGACATGAATTATATATATTTTTACAAAAGAATTAGTGTAACAATTTCCGAAGGAAAGAAGAAACAGGCCGCTAACTGTAGTGATGACGTGCAATATTATAAAATTGATTATGCATGTGCCAAAAGAGGTAAACATTTTAAGAGTAAATTAAAGAAGACACAAAACGATGCAAGATAATTGTCCAGCTAGTATAAAAATAAGTATTAACGATAATCATCAGTTATGCATTACAGAAATGCATAATCACAGACTTGAAGAATCCTCTTACAAATTTATGGCTAGAAATTGCAAACTGGATCCAAGCGACAAAGAATAAATGGTGCATCTTATGCAAATGAAAGCCAATTCGAAAGACGCACAAAACTATATTATGTCAAAAACAAACAAAATCGTAACCCTGAAAGAAATATAAAGTCAATTGCTAAAGCACTAGTAAACACAAACTCGAAGAGATTATCCCGAAACTTATTCAAGAAGGAGACTCAGTAAAAATTTTCCGAAATGGCGACAAAAATCTAAGAGCAATTTACTACCA